TAAATGCTTATATATGATTCAACCCTGTCTCTGCTTTATTGGCTCAAGTGGTAACAGGCAGCTCAGACCTATTGGGTGTCTGGATTCTTCACCAGGACCCAAGCATGGGACTCCTCTGGGGTGAATATCAGGGATCCTGTTTGTTGCCTGGACTGGGGGTTCCTGGAATTGAGGCCAAATGTCATTTTTTAAAATGATCTCTTTCTAATCTAAATACTATTTATTATCAGGCAAACTGGAGAAAGCCAGTTAATTTCCATCCACTGAAAGTGTTAAGATGTACTACCCGTGGTCTTTCCTGTTTGGACATGTTTCCTGAAATATAATATCTTAAGTTTTTTGTCCCTCCCCCTCCTCCCTCCCCGCCCATGGTTCGAAGCAAATGGCCTGCATCTGCAGAAGATACACTCCCTAGCCAACTCTGATGCTCCCCTCTGCCTGAGTTGTGCACCCACCAGGTATCCTGCTATTTTCCAAGGACATCCTGCTGTTCAGGCAGTATCCCAGCTGACTGGTGCAACCCTGTATAAAAGGACATAAACACTCCTTCGGTGCTGACACCAACACACTGGTCTCAGCTCACTGTGGGAGAACGTAATAAAACTTTTTAAATTCTCACATCTCTTGGCCTGGCTTCTGTTGGCACAGATCTAACAGAAAGGTCTGATCTTGGTGGTGGTGAGCATGCCTTGGGAAAGCAAGAGAGCACTATAGAAGGATAAGTTAAGTCGGATAGCAAGAAGAAATTTCGCCTGGCCAGTGTGGTCCAGTGGTTGGGCATCAACCTATGAACTAGGAGATCACAGTTTGATTGTCAGTTGGGGCACATGTCCGCTTACAGGCTTGATTCCCAGTGTGGGGACATGTAAGAGGCAGCTGATTGATGATTCTCTTTCATCATTGATGTTTCTATCTCTCTCTGCCTTCTCTCTGAAATCAATAAAAATATTTTAAAAGAAATTTCATTTTATACAATCAGATGAAAACTTTATTCATAAATATTCAAATGGAATATTCTATGAAAATTTTGAAGAACTTGATACATGTTGAATTCACTATTATGACACCTGGTAAGAATGTATTGTAGTAATTTTAATAACACTTTTTAAAAACCATATCCTTATTGTTGAATGTATTACAGATATCCCTTTCTTTTCTGCCATTGACCCCCCACACACACACCCACCCACTCTCCAGGCCTTAACCACACTATTGTCTGTGCCCAAGAGTTATGCATATATGCATACTTTTTATTCCGACAATCATCCTGTGGTGTGGGTAATAGTAGCAATTTAAGATATGAGGATACTGACAGATGAAGTAACTCTATAAGAATAGTAACTCTTGAACACCTCAGGTGTTCATAATCAGTGTCAAGTCTGCTTCTCTGATAGGTGTGTTTAGATAAGGTGGAATGGGTCTCATTAATAAGACTCCATCTGACCTAGAATGAAATCTAGTTCTCTTAGTCAGCCATGAAATCTAATAAATGGTGTGTGTTCAAGGCTATAAAGGAGTTAAGCAAAAGCAAGGACAAATAGGTGAGACAAATCTGAATTCCTTTCAAAACACTTTATAGTAAATCTTGAGTGTACTTCCTATTAAGCCAGAAAATGAATAGGTCTAGGCTACCTGTTAATTGACTAGAGACAGGGTTGAATCATATATACTAGTAAGCATTTTATTTTCTAACTAGAGGCCCACTACACAAAATTCGTGCATGGGAGGAGGGATCCCTCAGCCCAGACTCTGCACCCTCTCCAATTCAGGACCCTTCGGGGCTTGCCCCATCCCAAACTGGCAGTAGGACATCCCTCTCACAATCCAGGACCACTGACTCCTAAATGCTTGCCTGTCTGCCAACCTGATAGCTGCCTAACTGCTCCCCTGCCAGCCTGATGGCCCCCAACTGCCCTGCCCTGCCAGTCTGATGGGCCCCAACTGCCCTCCCCTGACAGCCTGATGGCCCCTAACTGCCTCTGCCTCTGCCTCCGCCCGCACCACCATGGTTTTGTCTGACAGGAAGTCGGACGTCCGGAAGATGTCCGGTCACCTAGTCTAATTAGCATATTATCTTTTAATGAGTATAGATGGTTACTGAGCAGTGCATTCTGGGGAACATGGGGAGCGGCCTTATGATTCAGAGACTAGGGACTCACCAGGAAGCTGGGAAGTCTGGTCTCACACAGCAGAGGGTGGGCCTGAGATCATGGGCGAGGCCTGAACTATATTTAGGTTTGAGGAGCCTCCCTCCTCCAGGCACCACTTGCTCAGTGGCCTCCCGCACAACCTGCAGTGTTTCAATGTACAGGACAGAGCTACAACCAATGGAGCCACGCAGCCAGGGTAGTTATTCTTAGCTTTTTTTTTATTTTATTTTTTACTCTTTTTATTAAATAATGTTGAAAGGTTTACATAGGTCCCCTTTCCCCCCATTAACCTTTTTCAGGCTACTCCCCCACCCCCAGGCCCTCACCATCCCATTATCTGTGTCCAGGGGTGATGTGTATCATATATATATATATATATATATATATATATATATATTCACACACACACACACACACACACACACACACACACACAGGCCATTGTTGATCTTTTCCCACCCACCCACCCTCTCCTGCCTTCCCTCTGAGGTTCCACAGTCTGTTCATGTATCTGTGTCTCTGGGTCTATTTTTGTTCATCAGTGTATTTGGCTCATTAGATGTTAAAAGTGCTCTGGTTGTGATCACTTGGATTTTCTAAAGATATAGTCATATCACGGACAAATCTTATTTCTTTTTCAAAATGTACTTATGGACACATTGGGAATATAGATACCAGTAATAAAAGTCTGTGAATATGTTGGGAATAGGATGCTTTTTCTTTCATGACGTTGTGAATATGATCCTGTTCTCCTGCTGCGTGGAGAACACCCAGTACTGTGGCTGCAGGGAATCTCTCCTTGGCAATTCCTCCACATAGAGCCATAGCCTCCCTCTCCATCAGCTCCCAGGACAGATTCATGCACCCCTCAGCAGAGGTGGGGGCACTTGGCCACCTCTGGCAGGCTTGCCCCATGTCATCACCCTGTGGGGCCCACCTTCCACATATCACCCTCTTGTTCCTACTCCCAGGCCCTTCCATGTACTTCCTCTTACCCAGCCCCTCCCTCCTCCTGTCATGTCCGGAGCCCCAGGTGCTGTCCCTGCAATGTCTGTGACATTCCCTACCAGATCACTTCATCTTATTCTTCCATGGCATCCAGTGTTTCTTCTGCCTCATTAACTTGGTTGAATCTGAACAGAAATGGCTCCATCTTCTATTCCATTTGTGTCCTTTCCACCCCTAAGTTAATGTCATGAACTTAGTATCTGGCTATGAGATATCTCTGTGACTGAGCTGGGAAACCTTTCACAATTATCTTTCCTTTTCTTTCATCTCAGGATAACTGTGCTCTGTGGTTCGTGTGGGGCCAAAGGCCCTGGGAATACAATGCTGAGCCCTCTGAATTAATTTTATTCTTTATTATCTTATTTGATTCCTGGGATTGAATTAAACATTAAAACAGAAGAAAATATACCCTTAGATATACAATCTGAGTAATTACCCAGAGATTTCCGTGGGAGTCAACACTGAGGCATGACACACATGCGTCTATTAGTCAGTTTCCTCAACTATGGAATGAAGATTGAACCTGCCCCTCGGATCCTTTGGAGATCGTATATTATGCATCCAGAGGGATTAACTGGTGGCTTGGAGAGTAAGATCAGAAGTCAACAGAGTTTACCTGGACAAAGTTAGAAAAATACAACTCCTTTTATCATAACATATGGGAGATGCCTGTGGGAGGAGGTGCAGGCAACCAGGGCTGCCCCATTGCTCCTGCCCTGCCATCCCTCCACTGGCCCAGCCACCTGGCTCAGTCCCTCCTCCATCTTGGAACCACTCAACTGCATGTGCAGTTTCTTGCAGACACGGAAGCAGCTGTGAAGTGGGAGGTGGTGGTTTTTCCCTGAGGAGGGTGTTTATGCCTTTAAAGCTGATGCTCTCTATCCATCTCCCAATAGTGAAGGCTGAGGTGTGCTGCAGGCACTGAAGTCCTTGTTGAAGTCTCCTTTCCGGAGTCTCTCACAGCAGTGAGTCTGTGTCTGGGGAGGCTGCACAGTGGAGGCTCCATATTCCTTTCAGAAGAAACAGGATTGATCAGAACCTGCCAGCTGGAAGGAGGGACAGGAGGTCTGCCTTGCTCTCTAATCCCCAGTCTGGCTCCGCTGCCACCCAGCCTTGTTCCCTGTGGCTCTCCATTGGCTATCCAGTGATGGGAACCTGTGGGCCATGGGTAGGGATAGGTGGGAGGAAGGAATCAAGAGGCTCTCCATGCACTTCCTGGTGACCGGTCATCCCTCTGGTCATTTAGGGTGTGACGGTCCCTGATCTTTTATAATGTAGATAATGCCAGCAGCATGGGAGAGCAGCAGGTCATCCAAAAAATATGCTCTACCACCCCCCATAATTCAGATGCTTATGTTGGGTAGAAGGACAAAGATTAAATGAGGAGGTTGCCAAAATGAATTACAGGCATAGGGAAGTAGGCAAAAGGAATGAGAATGGGTATAATATAGTTACAGGTTACAGGCAATGTGGTCTGGAGATTGCAAAGGCTGTGCACTTCCAGGACTCCATTGTTTCAGCAATAAGGTTGTCAATCTTTCCATGCTGAAAGGCAGTTCTCAGATAAGGAGAATGGACCACATTTGGAGGTTAACTCCAAGGTCCGGGGCCTACACTCTTAGCCAGGTCAAAATTTGCTTTCTTTAATCAGAACAAAAACAATCAAAATTAACTGAGCATGATTAATATTTCTTATAACTATAGCTAATCCCCACTATTCTATTGATATTTCTTCCTCCTTGCCCCTAAATCTTACAGATAATTTTTTAAAATCTAGAGAGTATAAGAAAAATGAAAATAGTTAAGAAGTAGAGAGACATTACTACTGGAAAATTAAAGTAATTAAATTCATAGACTTTTTGAGCATCAACCTAAGAAGGATTGAACATGGACAAAAAGAGAAGCCATCTGCAGGTATCCAAAATTCAGGGGGTCTGCTAAATTTCTCACCATTGCAAGTAGTGTCCAATTCTCAAAAGTAAGTTTAGTGACTTGGCCCTAACTATGCCCTCCATATTAGATACATTCAAGAATTCTCTTTGATTTTGTTTTATACTTAAAGAGGTTTTATGTGCAATAGCTTTGTGTTTTTAGGAAAAAAAGAAAAAGAAAAAAAGAAAAAGCTTTGTCCACTAAAAGGACATTTAAATGCTGGTCATTGTTCACTGAAGAGAACATTTAAATGCTGATCAAGAACATTCCTTCTGATTATCAATACTAACAATACATTGCAATGATTCTTTAGGTAATTATGCATAGTTTCACTTTTTATCTACATGTGAACATTCTAAGAACCCAAAACACTGAAAACTCTGTAAGCAGGTATCCATTATTTAATCACATACCTCGGGATTGGTGAGGTATATGATAGTCCCCATCCCTATTGGAATGAACAGTATGTGGGATTTTTGGATCCAGACTTAGACACAGAGTAGAAAATAGGAATCAATTATTAGAACCAGGTATTGATCGGGAATTGGTCTCAGGGCCACAACACAAGGTCAGTTCTCAGACTAGCAATGAAGGTGAATTAATATTTTTGCCAAGAACAAGTCAGAATAGATCCTTTAAACTGGGTCGAATCTCTGCTTGGAGCATATTGCCCAATTAGTGAAGAAAAGGGATAAAATGCTTAAGAATCCAAGCAGGGCTGGCCAAGTGGGGTTTTGCTCCCATCTATGTGGGGAGACAATTGAGCACTATAGATTTGAGCTGTTGTGATCAAGTTATACTACAAAATAAGTAAATTTTTGCAAATAGGTATTCCAATCTAGTTTTTCTTTAGGGGCTAGCTCCCAAATGTAAATCACATATTTAAGTCAATCTTCACCCCTCCATTTAGCAATAAAACAAAACATCCTTCAGAGCATTGGTCCCCGGAACATTGAAGAAAATTGCATTAAACTAGCAGTCCTTCCCCTGTGGCTGGCAGTTCCCAATCACCCAATTAGGGCAAGGCCCCAGGCTGGAATGGGAAACGGGGATGGGTGGCATTGAACACTGATGATGAAAGAAGGACACGGATGAGGGGGAAGGTGGGGAGGCGGGGAACTGTGCAGCACTAGGGTGTGGGTAGTGAGGAAGGAGGAGGTGGGGAGGCAGGGAACCTGATTGGCCCTTATCACCAGCCAGGCCTGGGGAACCCACCCCTGCACAAATTGCATGCACTGGGCCTTTAGTTTAATAACAAATAGAGTTTTTTTAAAAAAAAAGAAGCAAGGGGGCTTTTTGTTCTGTATTCTCCAAGTCATTGACTGCAAACAGTTCTTTAAATGAGAATTGGTAAAGGAACCCTCTTGCACTGCTGGTGAGGATGCAAACTAGTGCAGCCACTGTGGAGAACAGTATGGCATTTCCTCAAAAAATTAAAATTGGAACTTCCATTTGACCCAGTAATACCACTTCTAGGCATGTACCCCAAGAAAACAGAAACAGCAATCAGAAAGGATATATGCACTCCTATGTTCATAGCAGCACAATTCACCATAGCTAAGATTTGGAAACAGCCTAAGTGCCCATCAGCAGATGAGTGGATTAGGAAACTGTGGTACATCTACACAATGGAATTCTATGCTGCTGTAAAAAAGAAAGAATTCTACCATTTGCAACAAGATTGATGGAACTAGAGAGCATTATGCTAAGTGAAATAAGCCAGTCAGAGAAAGATAAATATCACATGATTTCACTCATTTTGTGGAATTTAATGAACAACATAAACTGATGAACAAAAATAGAACCAGAGACATAGAAGCATTGAACAGACTGCACAACCTATGAGGAAAGGTAGGGGGTGAGGAGGTAAGAGATCAACCAAAGGACTTGTATGCTAGCATATGAGCAAAATCACTGACACAGACACTAGGGGGGGTAAGGGCTTGTGCTTGGGGTGGGGGTGGAGGTGGTAGGGAAGAGGTCAATGGGGGGAAAGAGAGACTCCTGTAATGTTTTAAACAATAAAGAATTTAGGTGAGAGAGAGAGAGAGAGAGAACTGGAAACTCCAAAGCAAAATACTCCCTCCCATAATTTACTGAAGCACATAAAAAAAGGTTTAGGGAGAGGAACGAAAGATGGCGACTGTCAGGAAGGTAGGGAGAAAGAGTGTGAGAGAGTGAGGGAGCATTAGAGGAGTGTGTGGTTGTGTGGTTGGTGTGTGTGTGTGTGTGTGTGTGTGTGTGTATGAGCTAGGGACAGTTAGATTCTGCAGGACTTCCAAGGGGCTGCCAAAGCAGGCAGTCTTAGATGGCAGAGCCCAAGCACAACGCAGACACTTCTCAGCAGCCAGGGCGGGCACAGAGACTATGCCATCTTGAGAAACAGAGCTGCTTGAGACTAGGATCCTGGCCTCAGCACCACTTAGTCTGGTCTCAGATACAAACCAGGACCCTGCAGCCAGTGGGGACAGAGACCTTTGACCACAGCTGCAGACCAACAGACAGCAAGAATCCAGCCGCAGATTTCTTTGAGTCAAAGAGCCTATCCCTCTCCCTGCATGCTTGTAGGCAGCGCCACAGTAACTACGTAATAGACCCACCCTTCTCATAAACCACAGTGCCGCTACAGGAATTTGAGCCCGGGAGCACGAACACTGGGAATCTGTTCCCCGCAAGACATTGGGCAACCAAACTTGAAGCCCACGCAGGGTGGCAGTGCCACCTGATTTCGATTCTGGGCAAGCGCACAGGAAGTCTGTTTTCTGCAGCACAGGAACAGACCTCCTGTTGGCACACTGCTAGTGTGCAACCCAGTCCCCCAAGCTGACGGGGATCCCAATTCTCCAGACTGGAGGCAGCACTGAGCACCACTGAGTTGACTCTGTTTCTTATCACATGCGCCTGGGATCCCTGATTCCCAGTGCATTCGCACTAAGAACCGGTGACCCCAATTCATGGTGAATGCGCACACAGGGATCCTGGTTCTCAGCAAGAGGCCACTTGACTTTTGGTGCAGACACAGGGGAACTCTGACTCCTGGCATGCACTAGGGGACTCTGGTTTTTTGCACACGCCAACAGGGTCTCTGTTTCAGCGTAGTGCAGGTGGGGTCCCTGATTCTAAGTGCACACACAAGAACAAGATCATACTAAGCACTGGTAACACTGCCTCTGGGCGAGCCTGGTTCCCACCAATCCAGGGCAGCCACACGTCCTAGTGTCGGAGCACTTCAGTGACACCCGGGTGGTGCGAAGCTCCCCCTGCACACAGCGCAGGTCCACACAACTCAACTCAACGTTTGAACCTTCTGGTGATAGTCAGAATGGGGAAATGACACAATCCCCAGAGGAAAGAAAATGAGGAGTCGCCAAGAAAGGAAATTAGTGAAACTGAAGCATGCAACATGACCAAAAAACGAATTCAGAGTAATGGTCATGCAATTCATACATCAGATGGATGAGAAAATCAACAACCTATGCAAGAATCAGGAAGAAATGAAAAGTGATATAGCTACAATCAAAAACACCATGGAAAGTTGCAACAATAGACTAGAAGAAGCAGAGGACCAAATTAGTGAGTTAGAAGATCCGGTACAGAAACAAGCTCAATCTGAACAGCAACTGGAGAAAAATATTAAAAAGCAGGAGGAAAGCTTAAGGGAGCTTTGGGACAACATGAAACAAATAACATAGGTATAATAGGGCTGCCAGAAGGACAAGAAGAGCAGCAATTTTTAGAAAATTTATTTGAAGAAATAATAATAGAAGCCGAAACCGGTTTGGCTCAGTGGATAGAGTGTCAGCCTGAGGACTGAAAGGTCCTGGGTTCGATTCCGGTCAAGGGCATGTACCTTGGTTGCGGGTACATCCCCAATAGGGGGTGTGCAAGAGGCAGCTGATCCATGTTTCTCTTTCATTGATGTTTCTAGCTCTCTATCCCTCTCTCTTCCTCTGTGTAAAAAGTCAATAAAATATATTTTTTAAAAAGGAAAAAAAGCAAGTTTTCTTAAAAAAAAAAAAAAAAAGAAAGAAAGAAAGAAAGAAAGAAAGAAAGAAAGAAAGAAAGAATAATATAAAACTTCCCAGATAGGGGGAAGGAAAGAGTTACACAAATACAAAGTCCCAAGCAAGATCAATCCCAAAAGACCCACACCAAGACATGTCATAATTTCAATGGCAAATGTTAATGACAAAGAGAATATTAAAGGCTGCAAGAGAGAGACAAAAAATTACCTACAAAGGATCCCCCATCAGATTAGCAAATGAATTTTCAACAGAAACACATCAAACTAGAAGGGAAAGAGGTATACAAAGTGTTGCAAAGCAAAAGACTGAATCCAAGAATACTCTATCCAGCAAGACTGTCAATCAAAATTGAAGGGGAAATCAGGAGATTCACAGACAAAAAAAGGCTAAGGGAGTTTATCACCACCAAATCAACAATGCAAGAAATGCTAAAGGGAATGCTGTAAAAAGAAGAAATAAAAAGGTAAGAAGGAACACAGCACAAAAATAGAAATGACTACAAACAAGTACCTTTCAGTAATAGCTATAAACGTAAATAGAATAAATGCTCCAATCAAAAGACATCCAGTGGCTGAATGAATGTCTAAATAAAATAAATAAATAAATAACTCATATATATGCTGTCACCTCAGAACAAGGGACTCACACAGACTGAAAGTGAAGGGGTGGAAAAACATCTTTCAGGCAAATGTAAATGAAAAAAAAGCTGGGGTAGCAGTACTTACATATGGCAAAATAGACCTCAAAGTGAAGGCCATACAAGAGATAATGAAGGCCACTTCATAATACAAAAGGGATTGATACAACAACAGGATATAACCCTGATAAACATATATGCACCCAATGCAGGAGCACCCAAATACATAACAAAACTCCTGGAAGATATCAAGGGAGAGATTGACAACAATACAATCATAGTAGGGGACTTTAATACACCACTGACATCACAGGATAAATCCTCAAGACAAAAAAATCACCAAAGAAACAGCAATCCTAAATGACACACTAGATCAGATGGACTTAACTGACAACTTCAGAACATTTCACCCCAAAGCCACAGAATATACATTCTTCTCAAGTGCACATGGGACATTTTGAAAAATAGACCACATATTGGTCACAATCAAAGTCTCTCCAAATTCAAGAAGATTGAAATCATATCATGCATCTTCTCAGACCACAATGGCATAAAATTAGAAATAAACTACAATAAAAACAAGCCAAAAATCTCAAACATTTGGAAACTGAATAGCATGCTATTAAATGATTGGGTTATCGATGAGATCAA